GGGACGAGAACGTGAACCAACATGCCTTATCAAGCAATGTCCCTCAGCACATAGCTCGGGCAGAAGATGATCAGGCCAAGGAGAAGGAACGATTTGGTTGTGTCTTGTGTATCTCGGGACATGTTGTCTTTTTTCATTTTGTTCCAGCTATTGTTCCTTTTAGAACGTGGTTTAGGCGGGTCAGTCGGGATCTCGCCCCGTGCATACTTCCCGAACAGGATTTCTTTAGAATCGTGTGCTCTTGACTTGTAATACGAGCTGTACACTTCTGGTTCAGAACGAAGTAGTGTGACACAAACATGTTACCCGAAGAAGCTCCTTCCGAGGTTCAGCCGGAAGAAACACCACCACCAGTCCCGAACGTCGAAACCTTTATGGATTCCATCATCGCCCGTCTCGCTCAACAGGAAGAAGCTCAAAAGGCGAAAATGAGCACCTCGCTGGTATCGCCGCCGTACTCGTAAACCCAGACGACACCGCAGGAAACCTTTCGACGCCCGACTATTTCTTTTCAACACGAACCCTACTCCTACTCCGGCTAACCAGCCAATCGTGCCGACTGGACTCCCGGACGACTCTGCGCAATCGGGAAGCAATCCAGATCTGTAAACCATTCGAGAAATCGTCGAACTGAAGCTCGCGCTCCAAGAAATCCACTCGAAGATCCATCACGTCACGAGCGCCGCACCACAAATCGACAAGGTCTTCACCACCGCGCTACGAACACAGTTCACCCGCCATATCACTGACGTTCGGCTGTGTATTACGGAGAAAATCCAAGACTCGACTGATTCGGCGGTAACTTTTATTAGGGTTTTCCTCTTATTTTCCTTGTTGCTTACCGATTAGTTCGTACACCACTCCTGGTTAAGCTCTCCGAGCACCGGTTTACTCCTTGTACTATTTCCGATTATAAATAAAACTCTTCCTCTTTACATTCATTCGTTCTCACCTTCGTAATAACCTACCGACGAGCCATGTCACTCTCTTTACTAATACACAACCGAACTCGGGTCAAAACAATATCGGCTTCTTCCATTCTCAAAAGTGAAACGATAGTCCATTAGTCATTTAGGTGTTAACTGCTACTAAATATCTCAATTTGGTGGTTAGATTTCCAGTTAATAGATAAAACACTCAGACAGATAAATTGAATTATGTTAATAATTGACACTAGCTTAGTAATTTATAAACTATAAAACGAACTTAAAAAAGTAGCATTAGCAAACAAATAGTAACACCTTAACTATCGAGTAACTCATTCAGTTTCATATCAATTAGATGTGTGATTTACGCCTATCAGTTTTCCCTATTTTAAAAATTTGACTGACATTTACAAAAATGCTAGGTTAAAATCTGCGTATTTGCGCGGAATGAGAATTATATATATATAAATTATTTGGTATCTTTTATTTTAATTATTATATGTCTTATTATTTATTTTATGTTCTTTTATATATTATAAAATAAAAATATATATATTGAAAATTCTGTAACTATTATATATACAATTAATTTAGAGAGCACTTAAACAAAATAATCATATTTGTTTATTTACAATCACTTTATATAAGTAAGTTTAATTAATAATTGATATTAACATATATATATATATGTATATATATATTATACTTTTAATTTGTATATCTAATAAATGAAACTTCACACTTACATGATTTTATGATCATTTGTATATTTTTATAATAAAAATTTTAAAATATTGATAACATCATTTTTAGTGTGAGAGTTTAATATTTACAGTAATTTATCATCATTTAAAAAATTAAGTTCAAAATTTATCATTAAATTATTAAGCTCTCAATACTTGTTCAATACAATTTTGGGATTAATATTTTTATGTATTTTTAAATGCTATTTAGTTTAATTTAAACATCACTATATATATATACATCTAATTTAAATATCTATTAAATGATATTTCTTACTCATTGTTTGTATCGTGCTATAACAAAAAATTTAAACTATTAATCAAAAATATTGTATGTGAAATTTTAATTTTTTTATTAATTTATAGTCATTTTTAAAAATTCAAAATCTAACATATATAAAATATAATTTTTTATATAGTTTTTTTAATTTATTTTCACAATATAAATTTAACAAAAAAGAGTAGAGACTATACAATATTTTATCAAATCTTTTATATTTAAATCATTAATTTCATATATATATATATATATATATATTTTTAACCATATTAGGTAATTTCATAAATTTTATTTAAAAAAATAATGATTAGCATTAATATTAGTTTGATGTTTAGTTTAATAAAAAGTATATTATGTTTATATGGACCAACATTTTTTTCTAGTAAATTTGAGAAACATTTTCATGATGACACGTGGCTATCAAAACATGTTGTAATGTTTTTCAATTAATATATAGGAGATACTATACACCATATTTACATTAAGAATCTAAATAAATAAAAATGACTAGTACTTCCAATGAATATGCAAAAGCTTAACTTGATATATAATTATAAAGTACACTATGATATTCTGAAGAAGAAAAAAAGATCAACAAATTTATAAAAGATATCACAATTATTTGGTAAAATTGATTTCAAGTTAACCGCTGGTCATCATCATCCTCACAAATTCATCATAATTGACTTGACCATCACCATCCAAATCTGCCTCCTTAATCATTTGATTAACCTCCTCATCTGTGAGCTTCTCACCAAGATTGATCATCACGTGCCTCAACTGCAATTATATATCAACAATTATGATATTAAACGATGTTTTGAGCGAAACAAAACACATATCTTATTTTTGAAACCATACATTTCATGAGTTTCTTTGTCAAATTTATTTTTTGCCAAGTTATATTCGTGTAGCAGCCAAGACATTTTCTTTTTTGGAGAAAGTAACAATTAATGGCTATTAAAAACAATATTTTGATGGGTGTGAAAAGAATATGTAAAAATATTATTTGCACAAGGCGAGAGACATGCATAGTCTTCCCAATAAACAAGTAGAATCATGGTTCAATTTTAATGTTTGTTACAAGTCACAGAGCCAGCTAGCTCGAACACTCAAACAATTTACCTTTCTACGACACAAGACAGACATATCTTGTTGTTATTTACTTGCAAAGCCGTGCCAGCACTAAAACCATATGTAACCGAAAAAAAAAAATTATGTCTTCATTCATAAAAAATGTATAATAAAACCAATCACACTTAAAAAACAAATACTGAATAATAATTTTGAAACATAGTTTGTCTTTCTTTCAATGACAAATTTCTGGTGGAACTCCCAAAAACGAAAAAACAAAATATATTGGATTTTTTGAGAGAAGATGTATCTTGAAAAAGAGAATAGTGGTTTAGGATTTCGCGATCTAGAGAAGTTCAATCAGACACTCTTAGCTAAACAAGGATGGAGATTGCTGATGAACTTAGAATCTTTGCGCGCTCGGGTGATCAGGAGTAGATACTACCCCTAATGGAGATTTTCTCTCGGCGAGGCTCGGACCTCGTCCTTCCTATACCTGGAGAAGCATTCTCTTTGGTCGGGAGTTATTGGAAAGGGTCAAAGACAAGACATTGGGTCAGGAGAAAGAATTAGTGTATGGATATATAAATGGCTGTTTGATAGTAGCCCTAAGGCTTCACAGCGCAAACCGATTTTATTTGATCTGGATTTATGAGTGTGTGATCTAATCGATCCTCAAACAATGACCTATAATAAAGGGAGATTAGAAGAGAATTTTTTTTCCAAGCATGTGAAGAAAAAGTCTGCTTTTGGAGAGAAAGATGCATACGAATGGGTTCACACTAGAGGGAGAGCTTATTCAGCCAAGTCTGGCTACTGGTTAGCCTGCACCCTGGACAAGTCACCTATGAGACAAGAGGCTATAGCCATACCTTCTATTAACGGCCTATGAAGCAAGGTATGGAAAGTGAAGACAGTTTCAAAGATTCGAATTTTCCTGTGGAAAGCTTTATCTAATGTGTTGTCCGTAACCGATGCTCTACTGGCTTGTGGTATGAAGATTGATCCAAGATATCAGAGATGTGGTGCTCAATCTGAATCTATTAGGCATGTATCTTTTATGTGTCCGGTAGCTAGGCGTGTGTGGGCTCAGATGGGATTTCCCTTCCCTCCGAGAGGTTTTGAAAATAACACTTTGATGGAAAATTTTGACTATTTTTTAGGACTACCACTAACAAAAGATATACCTGCAGTGATGAGTCATTTGTTCCCCTGTGTATTGTGGTTAATATAAAAAAAATGCTTTCGTGTTTGAAGAGAAGGTTTTTGATGCAAAAAAATACAGTGGAAAGAATACATGAGGAAGCCAAGCAATGGTTTGAAGTAAACAACGTGCAAACGGTAACTCTATGATAGGTATAAAGTGGCTTACTATCGGAAGAGGAAAGGGTAGGAAATACAGGTGGAGGATGACGTGACAGAGAAGGAAGTTAATTCAAATAAAGGAGAGGGAAGCGAAACCTCGGGTTGAAGGAGAGGGTTTGTTGTTGTTTCAAAATAAAGAAGAGGGAATCGAAGCCTTGGATTGAAGAGGAAGTTTGATGTTAGATCGAATGGAGCTTAGAAGTTAGTATAAGAAGAGAGGTGTGAGATGAGAGAGGGTTTATGCTTGATGTTGTTTGTAATTGACGCTATGAGTCTTTACACTACAGTCGCTATGAGACTGATGGATTCGATCTAGTTAGCCATGAGAGCTTAGATCAATTCATACTCAAGTTGTACTTCTCATTCTCATTGATAATAAAGAGTATTTCTGTTAGTTACAAGGGTTACAGATAGTTAAACCTATCATTGGTGCGGTGAAACTGGTAAAATCAACGTGATGACATCTCCGTGTGCGTCGCCGTCGAGTCAAGGTTGCAGAGGGGTGAAAAGGAGCCGGAGACGATGATGAAGGATGAAGTGATGTTCTTACGCGACAGATACAATCTTTTGATGAATCAAGTGGCGGAAAATAAATAGTGATTCACGCAGATGGAGGATCACTTCAAGGAAATCATGAAGACTCTGGGGAAACGTCCGATGACATTTCAAGATTCACCGGAGGATCGTCACTTTCAGCCAGGAACTTCGACTCACGCAAATCAGGTACCGATTCGAAACTGGGAACAAAATCGCGATGAACATCCGCTAGGTTCTCGATCTGGTCAATTTAATCTGGCAACTCGTGAGCACATGCTGAAGAAACTGGAAATGCCTAAGTTTGAGGGAAACAATACTCACGATTGGATAGTTGTCTGGAATATTTCTTCGCGGTTGGTCAATATCGGGATTCAGAATGTTTGGATATGATAGCTTTGTGTGTTGAAGGGAAGGTCAAGAAATGGTTTGCTTGGGTACGGAAGAGAGGTGGTTTCAGAGATTGGTTGGACTTCAAGCAGAAATTGATTCTTCGTTTTACAGAGGTAATCGACGATGAACCTGAAACACGTTTGTTTTCCTTACGTCAGACGGGTTCAGTGGCTGATTACGTCTCTGAGTTTGAGGAATTATCGTCTCAAGTGTTAGGGTTGGAAGATAAATTTCTCGAGCGGATATTTTACAACGGTTTGAATCAAGAAACGGAAGAGGTTATCAAGATGAAAGATCCTCAAGGACTACCTCAGTTCATTGCAGTGGTATTGAGAATGGAAAAAAGCACCTTTTGCAAAGTCATGAGTGGAGTTCAGAAGGAAGAACATAAACATACTACTCCAAAGACTTCAACAAGGGGAAAGACATCTCATACTACGGTTTTTCAAAGAGGTCATGAGGTGAGTACAAGCAAAGATATACAAGCAGCTCGTACCAACATCAGACCGAGACAGCATTTTTCTGATGCTGAGTTGCATATGATGCGCAGAGATAAGATTTGTTTTCTCTGTAAAGCTCCGTGGACACCGCAACATAAACAGGAGTGTCCTAATAAAGCTTTACGAGTGATGACAGTAATTAACGGCTTGCAACTTGAAGTCGTGGATCAGATGAAGGAAGGAGAAGAAGAGTTCTTTGTCACAGCTGATCAAGAATTACGCCATGTGTGGTTAAGTTCTTTCCTAGGATTGGACTCACCAAGAACAACAAAGATGCGAGGTTGTATTAACAACATAGAGGTGATAGTCATGCTCGATAGCGAAGATTCGCACAATTTTATCTTACCAGAGATTGTGCACAGGCTGCACTTGAAAGTTTATGCAGATAGCAGTCTAGATGTGTTGTTAGGAAATGGAGTTACATTCAAGGCTTTTGGGTTGTGTAAGACTGCAACTTTCAAACTCAATACGACCAACTTCACATCTGACTTCATCTCTCTCGAGCTGGGAAACGTGGATGTAATCCTTCGAGTTCAGTGGCTGGAAACACTTGGCGTATGCGAGGTTGACTGGAAGCAACAAGTATGGTCATTTGTTTATGAAGGGATGGTGATGAGTCCCTGCATTGTAATAATCTCTCCTTTAAGTCACTAACTCCGAGATATCTTGATGGTCATCAAGGTGGAGCAGTGTTGATGGCTTCCTCGAGCGTTACCTCCATGAAACCAGAGTTATGTCCATCAGAATCTTGCGCTTCAAGCTCTCTAGTTTCATCTGTGCTGGAGAAATTTTCTGATATCTTTGCAATGCCTTCGGGATTACCACCGTTACGAGGTAAAGAACACTCTATCACATTATCTCTGGAAGTAACTGCAGTATCTGTGAGACCTTATAGGTATCCTCACACAAGAAAGATTGTGATGGAAAAAATGGTGGTTGACATGTTGGCTTCGGGGATAATTCGACCCAGCAACAGTCCCTTCTCAAGTCCACTACTTCTAGTGAAGAAGAAAGATGGATCTTTTCGCTTTTGTATCAACTATAGGGCACTCAACGGAGCCACCATTCCAGATAAATATCCCATCCCTGATATTGATCAACTCCTGGACGAGCTTTATGGAGCTTCAGTGTTTACCAAACTAGACCTACGTTCAGGATACCATCAAATCAGGATGGTAGAGGAGGATATCAAGAAGACAGCTTTTTGAACATCTGAAGGTCACTACGAGTGTTTAGTAATGCCATTTGGCTTAACTAATGCTCCGAGAACATTTCAAGCTCTAATGAATATGGTTTTTAAGCCATTCTTATGAAGCTTTGTCTTGGTGTTCTTTGACGATATTCTAATATTCAGCAAAAACCAGTCAGATCATTTGGAGCATTTACGGTTGGTTTTTCAAGTCCTGAGAGATCAGAAACTGTTTGCAAACCATAAGAAGTGCACCTTTGCGGTTTCTCAGGTTGAATACTTGGGCCACATTATTTCTGAGAGGGGGGTAGCAACTGAGAGTTCAAAGACAGAAGCTATGCTCCAGTGGCCTACTCCAAAGTCACTCAAGTAATTGCGAGGTTTTTTGGGTTTGACAAGGTACTATAGACGCTTTATCAAAAACTACGGAGTGTTGGCTCGTCCTCTGACCTCGTTGTTAAAGAAAGATTAGTTTGAACGGTCCAGTGAAGCTCATAAGGCGTTTGAGGGATTGAAACATGCAATGGTGTCAGCACCACTGTTGGCATTACCTAATTTTGACAAGACTTTTGTGTTGGAATCAGATGCTTCTGGTGTGGGTGTAGGGGCTGTGTTGATGCAGGACAAACAACCAATAGCGTTTTTCAGTCACGCTTTGACAGATCGCGAGCAACTGAAACCAGCGTATGAAAGGGAGTTGATGGAAAATGTGATGTCAGTTAGGAAATGGAAACACTACTTGATTGGCCGTAAGTTTGAAATTCACACCAATCACTGCAGTCTCAAGTTTCTGCTGGACAAAAGGACGTCAGCCTTGAGTATCAAAAGTGGCTCACTCGTTTGTTGGGTTTTGATTTTGAGATCTTTTATAAACCGGGATGCGAGAATAAAGTTGCAGATGGACAATCTATGTGTATGTATGTGGCCTCTATGTTGTTGGCTCTGACGATTCTGTCAGTGTTATAGTGGCAGGAGTTGGATAAGGAGTTAGCAAATGATCAGTATATTCAGACGATGATTAACAAAGTTCGTGAAGGGACACTTAAGTCTGACAAGTTAAAGGTGATTGCAGAAAGACTTTGGTCTAAGCATAGATTGGTGATTCCTGCAGCATCACGGTTCATTCCGTTGATTTTAGCAGAGTGTCATGACAGTAAGTCAGGGGGCCACTCAAGAGTTTTGGAGACGGTTAAGCGTGTTCAACGTTCCTTCTTTTGGTCTCAGATCGACAAATACAGGAATATGTAGCTAATTGTGGAGTATGTCAAACCCATAAATACCCCACTCTTTCTCCAGCTAGTCTACTTCAACCATTGCCAATTCCACAGCGTATTTGGGAAGATATAAATATGGATTGCATCGAGGGCTTACCTTTGTCTGTAGGGGTTAACGTGATACTGGTGGTCATTGATCGTCTGAGTAAATATGCACACTTTATTGCTCTGCACCATCCATTCTCAGCACTTACAGTGACAAAGGCTTTTATCAGAGATATTGTACGCTTACATGGCTTTCCGCGGAGCATCACTTCTGATAGAGATCGTGTGTTCTTAAGTGCTTTCTGGACAGAACTGTTCAAGCTTGCTGATACAAAACTGCAGTATAGTACCGCATTTCATCCTCAGACGGATGGTCAGTCCAAAGTTCTTAATCGCTGTCTGGAAACCTACTTGCGTTGTTTTGCTTCTGAACATCCGCGTACATGGTCAAAATTTTTGTCATGGTCTGAGCTGTGGTACAATACTACATTTCACACTTCATTGCAGACGAATCCTTTTAAGATAGTCTACGGTAGAGAACCTCCAACGTGATTACCATTTGAGACAGGATCCACTCGGATTGGAACAGGAGTTATTGGAGAGAGATGAAATGATGTGTTCATTAAAACTGACATTGGAGAGAGCTCAACAAATTATGAAGGATCAGGCTGATAAGCATCAGAGAGATGTACAGTTTGTGGTGGGTGGTATGGTATATTTGAAACTGAGGCCGTATCGTCAACAGCCAGTGGTGCAAAGGTGTTGTCAGAAACTTGCAGCAAAGTTTTATGGACAGTATCAGGTGGTGGAGAAAATAGGCAATGCTGCTTACAAGCTGCTATTACTGACTCACGCACGCATTCACCCAGTCTTTCATGTTTCGCAACTGAAGTTGGCTTTGAGTCCCCAAGACAAGTGTTGGAGCTGCCTCGTGTGTGCTTCGGAGGTGATCAGGATGATTTGATTCCTTTGGATGTGATTGATAAACGCTATGATGCGCATGGGAGATTGGAGTTATTGGTGACTTGGAAGAATCAACCGGTGGAGGACAACTCGTGGATGTCTTATATTCAGTTCATTGAGCAGTTTTCGAGTTACAAGCTTGAGGGCAAGCTTGGTCTTGTTGGGGGAAGTATTGATAGGTATAAAGTGGCTTACTATCGGAAGAGGAAAGGAAAAAAAATACAGGTGGAGGATGACGTGACAGAGAAGGAAGTTAATTCAAATAAAGGAGAGGGAAGCAAAGCCTCGGGTTGAAGGAGAGGGTTTGCTGTTGTTTCAAAATAAAGAAGAGGGAAGCGAAGCCTTGGATTGACGAGGAAAGTTTGCCGTTAGATCGAATGGAGCTTAGAAGTTAGTATAAGAAGAGAGGTGTGAGATGAGAGAGGGTTTATGCTTGGTGTTGTGTGTAATTGACACTATGAGTCTTTACACCACAGTCGCTATGAGACTAATGGATTCGATCTAGTTCGCCATGAGAGCTTAGATCAATTCATACTCAAGTTGTACTTCTCATTCTCATTGATAATAAAGAGTATTTATGTTAGTTAGAAGAGTTAGAGATAGCTAAAACCTATCACTCTAACGGCAGTAGAAGCATACCCTCTAGGGATGATAAGTGGAGGATTCCGACTGCAGGAGGTTTTAAATGCAATGTTGGTATCGCTTGGTCTAAGGGTAAGAACATGTCGGGTGCAGGGTGGATTGTAAGGAATGATAGAGGTCAGGTTTTGATCCATATATAGTCGTCGAGCTTCTAGTAATATTAATTCTCTGATAGAAGCTAAACATGTGGGCTTGATCTGGGCTCTTGAAAGTATCTACTCTCATAGGCTATAGAATGTGTGTGTGGAAGTTGAAGCTCCTGAATTAGTGGTTGTTGTGGTCAGACCAGGGGACTAGCAGTCTTTTCGAGCGTATGGACATGAAATCAGCAGTGCTCTGGATAAACTTAAGGAATGGGAGTTAAAACCGGTGTCAAGAGGAGTTAACAGATTGCGAGAAATGTCACGATGGAGATGAGAGTACAATCCTACGTTGCTACTGGTGAACTGGAATGGTTGAGAGGTATTGTAGCTGAAGAAAACGGGAGGCAATAATGATTAAGTTGCAGGTTGTTGATGGGAGTTACATGACTATTTGTGTGTTCTCTGTTTTTGAGTTTGAGGCTTTGTTTTTTCTGGTTTCTTGGTACGAACGTTATGTTTGGTCTTGGCAATTTTTAAGTAGTAATGCAGTTTTAGAGAAAAAAAAAACTGTCTTTCTTTTTTTCTCTACTAACTCATTGATTAGAATTTCAAAATCAATGTTCGTTGAGATAAAATAACTAAATCACTCAATCTTTCAAAAATAACAAAAGATAGTTTATCTTAGTTATGGTGAATTATAAGAGAAAGTGAGATAAAACTACTTTGCTAACATGAATTTAAGCTTGAGGTCAATACTACAGGTTTTTGTCTTGTGAAACGAATAAGTGAGCAGAAGACTGTAAGTGGTGAAGGTTTTTTTGTTTCCCTAATCTTTTTATAAAATTACATTTGAGTTTTTTAAGTAAATTTAATTTTAATTAGTAAATTATTAGTTAATTAATAATATATTTATTTGTTGTTGCCCATACTTAGCCTACTAATAATATTATAAAGTTTGAAAGTCTAAATCATATGTATATTACTTAAAATTAGTAATATTAATTAAATATATGATATTAAGTGTTTTTTTTAATATGCTGCCATGAGCGAGTGTTTCTTTTTGGTCAAGGGACTGTATTGTTTACTTGTCTAGATTTCAAATACAAAATTTTTGAGAAAAGAAAAGGAGAAGAATCGAATAAGACACCTAAATGATCTCTTGTACTATTGACATGAAATCATAAATAAAGAAGATAGTTTAAAAGGTTCAGAAGAATTTAAAAGAAGTTCAGAAGAGTCCAAGAATAAATAGTAACTTGGTGAACAGTTACTCCGTGAACAACATTTCGGTGAATATTAACTCCAATATTTACTTATATTTTAGAATAAGTCAAGTTGTTTTGGTTGCCCTAAAGATCAAGGAAAATCATTAAAAAAAGATAAATCTACTTATCTCTTGTAGTTATCATTATAAAGATCAAGGAAAAACATTATTTTTCATTCTCTTATTTTCTCTGTTGAATCATCATATTTCTTTTGTTCTTGCAAGTTCTTCATGATATTCATTTAAACTCTCATAATCCTATCAAATCTCACATTTACAACTCCAATTATCATCTACGCCTTCTTTGATATTGTCCTTAGTTTAAAAGATCCTAAATCCCTAATCATGGTATAGAGGAGTAAAACATACTTGAGACACTGAATTAATAGATACAAAAACAATCGGTCAAAATTGTATATCGACTTCAATCACTTAGTTTAATAATAACATAATGAGACCGCACGTACAGAGTGTACTGTACGCAACAGAGTATCGGATTGATCTTTACTCTATAATATTTGATCAACGAAATATCTTCTTTTTTTTGTTCAACGATCAACGAATATATAACTACGATTAAATATATAAGGATCGATAGATATCCTTAACAAAATTCGGAAATATTAATTCGATTAAGAGAGAAAAATGTGATAAGTTGTAATATGCTAACCTCACTGGCAGAGATGTAACCATTTTGGTCTTTGTCAAACACTTTGAATGCTTCTTTCAGCTCCTCATCTGCATCAGTTTCCTACCGCAATAAAAAATTTAATCAACAAATACCAAAACTCAGTCTGATTATTGATCATTTAGTTTCATATATATAATTAATGTAAACCTGGATTTTGGTGACCATGAGGTTGAGGAACTCAGAAAATTCGATGGTCCCGTTACCATTGGAGTCGATCTCATTGATCATATCTTGAAGCTCTTGTTCGGTTGGATTCTGATCCAACGAGCGGATCACAGTAGCAAGTTCATCAGCAGTGATGCAACCATCTCCATCTCTGTCGAACAGACAAAAGGCCTCTTTAAACTCCATTACCTGTTCTTGCGTCAGTTCTTGTTGTTGTTGTTTTGTCTCGTCCATCCAAATAAAACTGTTCCCTCGAGAATTAGATAGAGAGAGAAGAGAACAAAAAGTAATGCTTCAAAAAGCTTCAACTCTCGTTCTGCACTTATGCTTTCCTATTTGTATAAGTCTTTATTTTAGACTTGACTCATTAACTTTCTCCACTTTTTTTTTTGTTTTTTCATAACTTTTTAGTCAAGTTTCAAACAATTGATTTGGAATTTAATTCCAGTCCATAACTCAAGGTTTTATTTCCATGGAATATTTTACTACAAATGAGTCAGGTGGGATATCGATATTAGTGAATTTTTTTTTTGTAAAGCATATTTAGTGAATTTATTGTAAAACTCTTTTACGTTGAAAACCGTACATGATCTTATAAGTTATCACATGAGTTGGATATATAATTATATACCATATAAATAGCAGCGGACGAGACGGTTGATCATCGATCGTAACGGCAACTTATAATCAGGATACGGTATAAACCTGATGTTTTAAAACAGGGAAATTGTTCTTCGTTGAATATAATCATATAACTAGATTTTGACCCGCGCTTTTAAAGCGCGGGTTTATTATATTTTTTGATAAAATTTATTTGAATTAATAAATTTTATTTTAACACGAAATTTTTTTTCTACTAATATTAAAATGTTCTATTATCTTGTTTGATTTTCACGTATTGTGTGTTTTCATATCTCATTTAGACCATAGTTGAACCGTTATATCCAACAATTTTTGTATAGTCCAGTAAGATTTAATGAAATTTTATTAATTAAAATTTTGATAAGACTGGTAAATCTGCTAACAGTCCCATAAAAACTGATAACTTTTTTTAAAAAAAATAGTAAATAACACATACTTTAAAATTAAAGAAAATTGATTTTTTGTAATTTCTTAGAATTTAATGAATTTATTTTTATTTGAAAATTGAAACAATGGTAAATAGAAGAAAAATATTTATATAACAATATATGTTTTTCATTATTAATAACCTATGATTACTTTACATTTTTACTTATTAAATATCTAAAAGGTAATTTATTTTAAAAATTTGAATTGGTACATCCATATTATGACATAGTAAACAATAATATTTAATTTTTGATCGCTAAATGATATTATGCATGAAAATAAGATATTAAAATTAAAAGAAAGTTTAAATTGCATAAAAATACATTATTATTAAACACAAAATCAGAAATTATTAATTACCATAAATATAGGAGCGATTTAGTTATTTAGTTTAAATAAATAATAATTATATTAAAATTAAATGCTAGTGGCATATCTTTGTAAATAATTCAAAAACTATGGGTAGAATACTAGGAGGGATTCTGCTTTAATAGTATAGATGACTGTTGAAAAAATAATCATATAATGACAAAACGTAGATAATTGTGTGAATAAAAAAGTGATACAATAAATGGAAAGTGCATAAAAATGATACATGCTCGCAGAAAAGGGATATATGCGTAGTAAAAATAAAATACTTATAAATCGGTTGTGGGTTTGGACAGCTGTAAGAATATACGACGACGACACAAAGGCATTGAAATTGTAGACCAAACACTTTCGTTACAGGAAAAGGTGTCGACCCTCTTTCATTCATCATTAATTTTTGAGTTAATTGGCTAAATATACAAAAAGAATGAGAAAATTAACAAATTGAGTTAATTGGCTTAATTTTTTGTCTTTAACATATGGTCTTATTGAACAGAGAAAACACATTCCAGCCCAATCAGATCACTACCGACTCGCCAACCCTTTACGTCGTAGATCCACCTTATAATACAATACAATATACATCAAGAGTATTTGTAATACTGTAGCTACATATATCACTTTAGTTTTTGGAAAACAAAAACATACAGACTGGTTATTTAAACAATATACAAAGTGGTTATTTATGAAATACTCTATTTATATGATATGAAAAATACATTTTTAGTATGCTTATTTATTATTTCTAATTAATTTATAAATTGTATCGCTGTAAGTATATCTGGTTAGCAGATATAGATTAAAACTGAATTTAAAACCAAGCTAAGAGCATCTCAATGTCAGATTCCATTTTTTAAATGGAATAAAAGTGAATATGGAGTATAAATGTTCTAATTCTACTCTTTATCTTACTATATAATGGATTAATTAACAAACAACAAAATAGATTACTCTATCTATAGAGTAAATTTTATTATGATATAAAAAATGGAATTGGATTGAAATATTTTTACTCCATATTCTCTTTTATTTTATTTTGAAATAAAAATTGAATTAGATTGGAAATGCTCTAACTAATACACAAAACGCATTGCATCATTGATTATGTAACAATATATCTGCACGAATTGTATTTGATATATTATATGTTAGTTAAATGGTTTAAAGGTGTTACAAAATGTGATAATATATAAATTCATTAGTGTACGTAAGAGTAGATATAGAACACTTTAAGAAAAAAAAACAATTAAAGACCAGACGTGGAATCAACCAATCAAACACCATGGTGTGTAGACTTTACACAGTGACGATGCATGTGCTTGAAACTTGTTGACTAAGCTGATTAACTTGTCCAAAATCATTGGACGCTGGATCAGCAGTGGTCAAAGCTGCGGGATGTGGTAGGCTGCTAGCTGGTCCAGTTGATGTGCAGTGGCCAAGGTTGACCTCTGGATCAGGCTCCGATGTTCGACTGTTGAGAGACTTGGTCGCTGGTCATTTGCATATGGTCGAGTGGCATATAGAAGACAAGGCAGGTCACTAGTGGTCGACCACTAGGGTGAATGGAGGCGTTGCAGCGGTCGAGGGAGGTCACTGGTGGTCGACTGCTAGGATACTTTAGCATGGTCGAAGGATTGATGTCGTAGTCGTGGAATTGATGGGTAAGTCTGGCTGCAAGTTAAGATTGATGAGTGGCTCATGTATTTTCCAGCGGCTATGGACAGCCGCTAGATTTGACTGCTGGGACACTTAGATATATAGACTAAAGTTGGGAGATCTACTAGTCAGGTACATCTCAAACATAAAATAGGTCTTGTACTACAAAAATTTTAAGGTTCAATTCCACTTACATTTTAAACAAAAATAAAATAGATCCTAGTCTAAACTAAAAAAAGTCAAAAATAAAATGGGTTCTGTGCAAATGCACCTTCAGCACAGAGCAAGAGTCGGGCCTGCTACTACCGGTGCGGTTGAACGCCGGTTGAGATGGGTTAGTCTTAGAAATTAAAGGAAGTTATAGAAGTTATAATCTTGTTTTTTTTTTATCTATTTCTTCTCTATTTTACATTTTACGCGTTTTTCGGTTTTTTTATATAAACGTAATTTAACATTTTTCTAACTGTTTCAGAATCTATAAGATTCAAATTCATATTAAATTAGTATTTACTCATAAAATGCAACGTAAATTAATTATAATGAACTAAAACAAAAGGTTAAAAACATTAAAATAGCAAGATATCAGTCATGGCTTCATAATCAATTAACAATTATAGAAAAAAAGTGGACTGAATCTAATGCGTAAGAGTGATTAAAAAGTCAGAATATAGCGCTGGACGAAATCGAACACCAACACAGAATATATTATCTTAAAAAAATAATTTTAAACCCCCATACAAAAGAGATAAACTTCTTTTATCACTATATGTCTATTAGGTGTTTTGCCTGCATTTGCGAATATAAATATTTTATAATTATTTTATTAATACATCTTTTATTAGTTAAAATATTATAATAATAAAATATTAATTGTGTTTTATTTTTTGAAACCAGAATATTTATACTTTCATTTAATAATTCTTACATATATTTCTTTGTAATTTATGTTCATTATTAAAAATAACTTTAACATTAAATAATTTTTTTTCAATTATATAAAATTAAGAAGTTGACTTGATTAATATTTACTTATGTATTTTCTATTGTTTTAATTGTTAACGTTCTATCAAAATATATTTTCAGATAACATCACAATAGTTATCTTATTTAAAAAGATATTATTTAGATTTTGGATATTCTTATAATTATTATTAATTTTAGTTACTTATCTAATCAAAATCATTTAAATTCGTTTTTATTTTGTATGTAATCTATATATTATTTTCATTAAGGGTATAAACGATATTAACTACTCTAACTTTTAACATGAGAGCTCCGTTGCGAAAAATCATTTCGCAAATAATAGTATAGATAGATATATCTTGTAGATAATAATCGCGTATATGTTCGACGTATATAAATCTCTTTTATATATAATAAGTTTAGTTTCATGACTAAAAATTAAACTATACAGTGAGCAACGTCTTGGACTACCACATCTGTGGTAAATTACAACATACAATTTTGATATTTTAAAATATTAAATAGAGAAAATGATGCATTCAGTAAATACATACAATCAAGTTTCTGATTATATGATCCAGAATAGTTTGAATAATCAATTGTCTTCTAGAATATAATAATATTCATGACTTATATAAGTGCCAATTATGGTGTAATATCATTAGGCTGTAATGACACAAGCTTACGTATAGTATTTAGATGCGGTTTAATTTGGTGAAGTCAAAAGTAGCATATTGTTAACCTTATTAAAATTTGTCGTGTCCCAATTTAATGTCATAGCTTTTTTATGGTGTCTCTATATTTGACCATCTGGTTCGGCAAATAGTATAAACGTAGATATTGAATAACATCTCATGGGGAAAGCCCGTTCTCAAAAAAAAAAAACATCTCATAGGGATTTTTAAAACAGAAGTGCCATATAAACATATGAACGTACACCATAATTAGGACAACTGTATATTTGAAAGAGAGAATTAGTTAAATATCCATGATATTAAAGAAATAACCATGATTTGACACAAAGACAATTTGCTTTACAATTTTACATTAGATTGGACCATAATAACCTTCTAACGTTTTCTTTCTTCCAGACATTCTCTTTCTTTATCTGATATTCTCTTTCTTTC